GCCCAGCAACAGTCCAAGGAATAGTAGTTCTCATTGTGTAGCCTCAACGGGACATAATCAGAAACACATGGCTCTCCCGAGTCTAAACACAGTCCTCAAATAGCCGTGTTTCCAATAAAGGAGCACGGACTGAGGAGATCACGCCCATTGTGTCTGTTTACAATGTAATATCTTTTCTGTGTTATGCAATGCTAAGGCGTCAGCTTTCATGAAAATGGATAAATCTACAGAGCAACCTACCTCAGTGAAGACAACATAACTATGTTCATATATTAAGTTGGAATGGTTTTAAGACATGGCAAATTAGTAAATAATATTTAAACAACCAATGTTGAGAGAAAAATCCAGAAGAAATGATAATAGTATATGTGCTTAACAAGGCACATTGGAATGTACAAATGGAAAAAGGAATTAAAATTTGGCCAGAAAGAGGGAGAGTGCTTCCTTATGGAGAACTGGCAGATCGAATACTGTGATCTCACTGGCACTTGGAACCACTTTAATGTTGAATTGGGTCCCGATGGGGAAAGGTGTGGAAGGCAAAGTTACTGTCTTCAAGTATTTCCAGGGACAGGAACTATAGGGTCCTCTGTTACTAGATAGATAAAGAACAGAAGGTCCCTTCTAAGAAGGAATTGCATCCAAAAGCACCAAGAAATGCTTGCTGCTTATTCACCAATGAATGACAAATGTAATTAGAGAAATATTCTGCTTTTCCATGTTTTCACACTAAGTTGTTTATTTATTTGTTTTAACATCCTCCTTTGAAGACTTAATTAAAGTTTTTTTTTTCATTTTAAGTTTATTTATCCAGACCCAATTAATATACACAGAATGAAGCGTTAATTAAACATTGAAGCATACAGGTTGTTAAGCACTTTCAGTGGTCCTAACATGTTTTAAATTCTGAATATCTCATCAAAATAAATTATTTGTCCATAGAGAGTTGCAAAGACACATGCATGCAATAATTTGAATGAAATTTCTGGCATATATATATATATATATATATATATATATATATATATATATATCCAAACACTTTTTTTCTCTATAGTCAAATCCAGGGGTTTTAAGCATCTTTGAAAAGCATTTAAAGTAAAGATGGGTGGATTTAACAAAAGCAAAAATGAGGGATTCAGCTAAGTTGAATATTTTGACCTGTCAGTAAAAGTAACCACAAATTTCAAAATGTACAGATGAAAAAACTCTACTCCTCTAGGGTATCATTTCTAAAAGCTACTTCTAGGTTTTGGCACACCCACCTCTACAGTGCCACACTGGTCATTTCATTAGTGACGTTTACAAGTGGTTATTTTTGACAGGGTCTATATAGCATTCATAATTGATTTCTCTCTCCACGTTAGATACCTGAAGGGATATTTGGTCATTGCAGATGGTTATTACTTGACTCCTTTTGGAAGACATATTACAATGACAAACAAGATTCATTTGTCTCTGGTTTTGACTAATGGTTTTATGTCATCCTCTTCCCGCCTTCCTTGCTATCAGTGGGCTGCACGTATTAAAATCAGAGGTACAGAGCAAGTGTTTGGAAACACAGTTTTCACATTCACTGAACTACAATTCTCAATTTAGAATCTTGCTTATGTTTTAAATATTTAAGACTGCGAATCATTTGGGAGCCAAAATCATCATGTGTTTGGCATTCTTCTGGTTGAAGAAAATTCTAGAGTGAATGTTTTTTTTACACCAGCAGCCAATAAGTTTCAGATGTTTTCCAAGGAGCAAGAGTTCTAAAGCTGAAATGGAATTTTCTGTGACAGTCTACAAATAACAGCTAACATATGCTTAAGTTACAAACAAAGCTGGAATCGGGAAATACTTAGTAGGGAAGCAAAGGAGGCTGGAAGTTAATTAATGAATCATTTCCACCTAAATTTCCTAGAGAATATTTATGTTTAAATATTTACCTCACCTATTTTTAAAGAGCATTACAATTACAAACTACCAAAAAATAGTTTTCAATTTACCAAACATTAGCTTTAAAATTCAGGTACATCTGTCATACATTTTAAGTGTTCAAGAAAATAAAAAAGCAAAGAAAAAGTTACATAAACTAACCAAAAAGTGCATTCTCCCATTATTTCACAGCATCTGAAGATTGAGTCATACCGTAAACTAAGGCTTCCTGTAAAGATGAGCCTGCTTCTGTCATCTGCTATTAGTTCCTGTGTTCATGAGTCAATACAATCCTCACATTTTTGCTAACAAATGAGCACACCCATGTGACAGTCCTCAAACGCTCATCATCTTAATCTACCGTGATTTGGTGTGCATTCTTCAAGTTGTGGCTTCAGAAACGGTTACACCAGTGTTGAGTTTGCTTTTACTTAGATTCTACTGTGGTAGGAACTAAGCCGACTGATATCTGTGGGATGTGGCAGGGCGTTCTGTTAGTCATGTGGATCACTTGAGCATCCTTCAGTCACCTTGTTTTTAAGTTGAGGGACCCCACCTACTACTTACCCACCTGGGTTATCAGTCTGGAATGAAATAAACAAAAGAGCTTATAAAACATCATCGTGGTGGTCCTGGAGGAGGGCATGCTGCCACCCAACATGAAATTCTGCTTCAACTAATAAGCAGGCTCAGAAACTCCCATTGAGTCTGCCTAGATAGAAGGTACGGCTTACAGATCCCAAAAGCATCTTGCAATATACTATTTCAAGTGTCTCTAAATTTAGTGATGTTCCCATCAACTTTTTAAATAACCATTTTTTAAATGTTTTCTGCATTTGCAGCTAGGTATGAACAGAGTGCAATATTAAAACAGAAGTTTTATGGTTTTTTCTGGATTTGTGTTGTTTCCTATACTTTATAAATAAAATATTTTATTTATAAAGTATAGGGAAAAAAAGTGAGACTAACTTGCCCATTGTGAATACAGAATGATCTCTTTTTCTACAACTCTTTGTTTTGCTTTTTTTTTTCTCTTCTTCTAGACAGTGTCTAATGTAGCCCAGGCTGGACTTGGGCTTACATTGTATTTAGCCTAGGCTGGCCTTGAACCCCATGCCCCCGCCTCTGCCTTTCTAGTCCTGGGATTATAAGCATGAGCTAGCCACCTCACCAAGCATAAATGCACACTTTTAAAAAAATGTCTCACTATTAAACAGTGATAGGCCCAGAACTCTTCATGTCGAGCAAATGGAGCTGGCCCTTGCTTCCGGCCTCTGCCTCCTGAGTACTTAGATTCTAGGTGCGGGCACTGTATGTACTGAACTGGTGTTCCCCTAATTCTATGAGCAATTAAACAGTATGTCAATTAGCCTTAAGAAAACTATATAGTACTGTTCTTTTAAATGCTTCAGAAATGAATACATTGGTTTAGAAACACATTCACCAAATTCAGAACCAATTTAGCAAATAGTGAGATGGAGTTCTGAGAGCGTCTTACCACACATGCTCTCCGTTAAGGAAAGAGACCCAGGGTTTTTTAGATTTTTTTTTAAAGCTGTGACTTTGGTTTCTGAAGTATAAATCCTCAGATTTCTTAGACTTCTAACATTTTAGAAAGCATTTCATTTCACTGCAGTGAGCATTGTGTCTAAAAGATAAAGGGCAGAACCCTTTAAGTAAGTTTAGGAAGTTTTGCGGCTTATGTAACACATCTCCCAGTCAGCAGGTCACTTTTGGCTGTTTATACTCTGGCTCCCTTTCGGACCTCATGGAAGTTAATTTTAGTTTTGTGGAAAGGAGAGAGACAGGCTGACCGCTCAGGCTAAGCACAGACTTACCTTCCTGATCTCCTGGGCATTCGCCGCCGAGAGAAGGAAGCACCGTTTGTCCTGAGGGTGTCCTTTCTCACATCTGCTAGCCTGAGTGTGAGAGGGGGTGTGTGGGACAGTTCCAGGAACCTCAGCTGCAAGCTTCTTACTCCCTCGGAGTGTCAGGGTCTGGTAAAAGAGACAGATTGCCACCACCAAACCCACCAGGAAAGGTCTGGGGCAAAATCGCCGGCGACAAAGGAACACAGGTCGACAGATCATGACCAGTTCGGCTTCACTTGGCCCCTGGCCACGTTGTCAGCATGAAAAAAGTACACATCTGTCTTCTTCTTGCACAACTCCAATCAAGTTCGCCCCATCTCCACTTGAGAACTTTCCGAAGGTTCATGCCAAAGATTCACAGGTCCCAGCGGTCCGAGGCGGTTAACACGAGCCCTTTGCGAAGGACAGTAAAAAGTGATCGACCTGCTTATTTTATTTTTAAGATGTCAAAATCATGATAGTCTTAAGAAATCATCCGAATGCATCCCCAGCTGCCAAGAGTTCCTTCCGGTAGTGTCTTATTTCCACAACACGAACTCAAGAGTTCAGCTTGTCTCGGCTTTGGGGCAAAGAGAAAGCACAGTAAAGCGGATCTGGAGTCTGCAAACAGCCCTGAAGACGCAGCAGATTAAATGCGAAGTGCCTGTTGCACAGCTGGGCGCGGGCCAGGTTGCCCTAGCAGTTTCTCATTTTCCCTCCCGTTTTAAAGCCGCCCTACTCTCAGCCTTTCATGTTTCTGAACTGCTTCCTTTCGTTCAGTTTTTAAATTGCTCCTTTGCTGCTAGCATTCACGGCTTTTAACCTAAGAAGGGAATAGCAGTTTGAATGTGTGTGGTTACTGTCGGGGTTTTGCTTGCGTTGGGTCTCATTCTGTTTCAAGTTCAAAGTTCTGTGTACTTACTCAGTTTTCATCCTTCTAGCCAGAATTTTCCCCCCATGATCCCCTAACGGATCGCTGATCAGGATCACTTGGAAGGAAACACCCAGGCGTAGGACTCCACCTCATTTCACTCACACGCACGGGCGCACACGCGAGCAGACACGCGGAGACACGCGCGCGCCAGCTGCACCCAGGGCCGAGAGCCGGGGGACCTGGACCATCGCTGCCACCCAGGCCGAGCGGGGCGGAGCTAAGCCCAGGGCTCCCCTGGCCTTGGGACCAGTCGCAGCCGAGCTGTCAGCTCTGCCTCAGCAAAGGGTAACAGGCTACTGAGCTGGGAAACAGCAGTTAGGGTCGCCCCTGCAACGTGATTACCTATCCAGACCGGTGGAGTTAGAAACATCCTTGATGCCCGATCATCTGCGTCACGGCATTTTCCCTAACACAGCACTGTAATAACAAACGGCTCCTAGTCAATAGATGGCAAAGGTCGAGGAGGGGATGAAGGCAGACTCTGAGTTAACGGGGAAGTTCGTCACTCCAGGGAATTGTGGTCACGCTTAAGAGGACAAGAAAGTCATTAGGACAGTCTGGACCACAGGACAGGAAACATTCGAGTAACTGACAGCCCCCTCTCCACTCCAGCACCGAGTGCTACCGCAGTGATTACGGCTCCTTTCTGAGGTCTTTCCAAGGCAAATGGCGTGATGACTGGCCCTTCAAATGAGCTGACTGGAGCAGGCAGAGTGTTCTAACTTCTGCCCCGGAGAAAAGGGCAGCCTTAATTTAATTCCATACCGACTCTCTCATGGCATGGGTCGGCAAATCCCATCACTCTTGGCAGGCTGGGGGACCATCAAAGGAGAACTTTGCAGGCCCTTGCTTTTCCAGCGCTGGGGAGGACTGACTTAGGCTCACTGCAGACATTCTTCAAAGACTTTAAACCTAGATAGTTTCTACACTTCAGGTCTAACCGAACTTTTTATAAGCAGACGTTCTCCGGTGAGGCCACACCCCTAGAGTAAGCCCATTCCATAGGACTCGCCAATAGTCCCTAATATTTTGTGAGAAAGCGCGCCCCCTAGAGGTTCACTGCTACTACAGATTCAGAAAAATGGCCATCTCTTGCTAGCAAGAAACTTTATGAGCCAGCCTAAGATATGAGACTGTGTCAAAAAAAACAAAAACAAAAACCACCAACAACAACATTAGTTCCTTAAAAACAAATTAATTAGGTCATTATAGAAGAGGCATGCACTCATTTCAAGTCCTTTTATGTATTCTTTATAAAATGTTTTAATACTATTTAATACATAAATTCAAAGTCTTCAATACCATGACAAATGGGGGGATGGGAGAAAATTAACCTGGTTTCCACATTTAGATGTCAAGAGAGCATTTCTGTTGCATGCCATAGGTTTTTGGTGGAGGTAGTATGATTTGAAGACTAATAGAAATCACTAGGCCTCTAAATTGGAATGGTTTCTAGGCTAATGAGGCCCAGAGTGTGGCAAAGCTATTTACTGGGGGATATGAGCCATATAGATATTTGTTAATATTAAGGCTTGAGTTATTTAAGAAATCAGGGTTTGAGGGAGGAAGGACTTTTTTTTCATCCTTAAATTGCTGAGTCAGAATACTGAAGAATAAATTGGATGCTAAATACAATAGTCTTTGGGTTGGAAGAAAGGAAAGCCAACAGAACAGAAAATTTTTAGACAATGTTGTTGCTTTGCTTTGGCCAAAAGGAATCTAGAAATTATTCTGGTAAATTGAAGAACTCAGTTTCCTATCTTGACCACAGAGTCCAAGCAAGAAGAAGACAACCAATAAGTAATATTGGAAAAAAGAAGGAGTTAGTTAGAACAAGAATGTGGCAAAGAAAGTATAGGATCAAATGGAAAGAGACCGCTGGGACTGCATCGAGCATTAGAGGAGACCCATGGTGGACATAAACCATCAGGTTCACCACCTCTTACCAGTTGTTCTGAAACAGGTGTTTGGTGAAGTCTCACGCTATCATTTGTGAGCTGAGAGTACCTCTTTTGAAGCATCATTGGCCCAGATGAGACTATGCAGGGACAGCACCTGAGCATTCTCAACAGCAGGCAGGTGAACGAGTGCTGATGCTCGTCTTCCAGGTGTTGACTCTCCAGGCTCAGTCCTCACAGAGCCTAGGGTGTGTCGAGGTGTCAAAACAGTGAGCAGATCATCTAAATAGTGAGCCCCAGGGACCATAAAGAATCAGACACAAATTCTGGCACTAATTGTTCTCTTCCCATCTTCCTTTGAGATGCAGGTGGGGAACAGATGTTGGCTTGAGAGGATGAACTTGTGGGCTTTAGTCATGACTGAGATTAGACATATTTGAATTTAAAATTGTAATGGCTAGATAAAGATGGACACATTGTACATATTAATGCAGTACTGTGTAATGTTTCTATACTTGCATATGGCATGTCATTTATAAGTCAGGTTAAATATATCTAGTGACTCAATGTTTATCATTTCTTTAGGGTAAAATATTAAGAATTCCTCTTTGTAGCTTTTGTAAACATGTACACAGCATCTGTAGTCTTATTGTGCAATAGCACATTAGAAATCCCTGCTTCTAATTATAACTTAGTGCCCAGTGACTAGCCTTTCCATTCAGCCTCTCCTAACCCTCATCAGCATCTGGAGGCTGACATTCTACTCTGTTTTTATATTCCACACAAATGGGATCATATAGTTTTCAATTTTTATACTTGTTATTTTCTACTTGGTGATCTCCAATTCTGTCCATATTGTCAGAAATAACAGGATCTCATTCTTTTTTTGTATCTGAATGGTGTATCTGTGGGAGACCAGCTCTGAACTGTTGAAGGGTTCATGCATGGAGGAGAGAGCAGTTAGGAAGTATTACATAGAAATGTAGACATAGACAGAGAGAATGACAGAGACACAGGGTAGCTTTGGGAGGGCTCTGGGTCAATAACCAGTCACCTTGAGATTTATTCCAAAGGGCTTTTTATACAATGCCAAGGGGCAAGGCAAAAGACTTCCCCTTTCAAGATCAAAGTACAATGTACAGCCAAGTGTAGACCCTTCAAAACACCTGGTAACCACACCAGTGACCAAATCATCCCACTATACAGCCCTGCAGGGCAAAGCAAGCTCAGACTTTCTGACCTTGAGTAAGGCCTTACCAGAAGCCTCTGTGGGCCCTCACCTATATCCATACCTCATTGTCTTCACACATCAGTTCATCCTTGACTGTTGTAAATAATGCAGTAAACAAGAGTATGGGTGCCCTTTAAACATACTGTCTTGTATCTTTTGATTTTTATACCCAGCAATGGCATGGAGTGACTATTTAGTATTTCTATTTTTAAATTTTTGATGAACCTGCAAACCTTTGCCCGTAGCTGTAGTAATTGACATTCTTACCAACACTCCACCTTCTTACCGTACTTGTAAGTTTTGCCTTCTGTAAAAGCCATTTTAACAGGGTGAGGTGACTTCTCAAAGCTATGGCTTTGATTTGTATTTCCCTGTTATTAGAAAAGCTGGTCATTCTCCTCTATATTAGCAAGTGTTTTGATGTCTTCTTTTGACAAATGCCTAAATGCAGCCAAGTTTTTTCAACTGAGTTTTTTTTTTTTGTTTTTGCCTTTGAATTCTTTGACCTCCTTATATAGTAGATAATTTTGAATGGAAGGCTAAGCAGAGTTATATTGGAGTCTGTAGGAGTCTGCACAGGAAACAATAAAGACAGAGAATATATTGGCTCAACGATGGAAGTAGGAGGGTATGTCTGCAGCACAATTGTGAACTGGGGTTTCTGGCATTGTTTCAGATTGGATGCTTTTGTGCATCTAGTTTATAAAGTACCTTTCCCACTTAAAAAAAAACAGTCTTTAAAATTAGGCATTTAGCAGCACTGAGACAATAGAGTGGCAAACATATTCTAATTCAAAAGTTGTACAAAATAGAACAATCTACCACAAAACGAAACTTTCAGTGACCTTTCCAATACATAAAACAAGATCTTTCATTGCACATCTAGCTACTTTTGGTTTGGGGTATGGATTTGAGGTATTGAGTTTGACTCTAATAATTTCTGAAGGCTTTTTACTTGTTTTATGGTGTTGGGAATAAAATGCATAGCCTTGCACACGCTAGGTAAGCACTCTACCACTGAGCTATACCCAATACTTGGTTTTTGTTTTGTTTTGTTTTGTTTTTGAGACATGCAGACGAGGAACTTGCTATATAACTCAGACTAGTAAATCTCCCATTTCAGTTCTCCAAATATGGAATTATGAAAATTGCATTGTAAGGTATTAATTTTTAAAACTGGAGATAAAAATATGTTTAAGAAGATTCTTGCATTGGATCGAGAACTTTAGAAAGATATCTATCTATCTATTTATCTATCTATCTATTTAACCATATTTATATCTATATCTGAATCTCAACTTCATCATAAACTAGGGGCATCATGATCAATAGATGACCTTTGCATGGTGATCCAAAAGTTTTGCTTCTTGTGACACATTTCAACATGAACATCCTCTCTGTTGCAGTCTTCTGGGCTCTGATGGCTTCCTTCAGGGGATAGCTTTTCTCTACAAGAAGGACCTTGTTCATGATAGTGTAAAATCTGGTTGCAGATATTCATGGTGATGTTGCAAGTCAACTCTTGGGAATGCTATCAGCAGTGATTCGTCCCTTGAAAATGAGACTGCCTTCTTAGCTCCTATCATCTCTTGGCAATGTTCATTCTGGAATTTTCCCAATAAACTCTAAACATAAGTTGTTAGTTTTAAATTATGAGTCATATATTAAATCTGTTCAAAAGGCATCCTAGACACTATGGAAAACAGAAGACATGTGACAAATACTATAAATGACTGGAGTACGGCAGACACAGTAATTGGTCCAAGAACATTTTAAGATCTCAGTGTGCTAATGCATTAAAGCTTACATCTCACTCATACAACTTTCTATCATTTCTCAGGTTCCACTAAGACATTTGATGACTTCATACACTCTTAGATATCCACCGGGCTCCTCCGAATCTCACTAACACAAGAGGAACAGGAAAGAATTGATTATCTCTTAGGAGGCCAGTTTCAGATTAGCAAATGTCACTGTATTGGTCAGGTCTGCTGACATGGACTCACCTTGTGGGAAATGTGCCTTATCAATAAGCCCAGGAAGAAAAGGAAATGACCTGGCACACATAGCTAAAGTGAAGACAAGCCATGCATTCTCTGTCATGGAGAAAAAAAAATACGGAGTTCCTATCTTTCAGGAAGTGGTAAGGAAAGCGTCAGAACAG